CTCGCCCGCGTCGAGCCGAGCCCAGCCGAGCCGAGCCGAACCGGGAGGTCCGCGCAGGCAGAACGGCCCGGCTCTCCCAGGCCGCGGAGAGGAGGGCGGGAGAGGCGCTGGTCAGCGGGCTGAGGCGACTCGTGGGAGGCCTGCGTTAAAAGGGGCTCTTGGGTCAGGCAGAGGAGGGCGTCGCTGGTCGGGGGCTTCCCTAGAGGGAGGGTGGGATGGGAGCCCTGGCAGCCAGGCTGCCCTGCTGCGTATAAACCTGCCTTGCGCTGATTCAGCGTAGCAGCCGCGAGCTAAAATCCACGCGGGCACGTGCCGTGTGCGTTCGCAGCGACCGCGTTGACAGCGTTTTACAGTCGACGCAAGCTAAGCGGATGCGCGTTTTTGTGCTTGTAGGCCCGTAGATGTCCAAGCCGGAAGGTGATGTGGGATGAGAGAGAAACTTCTCGGCTCTAGATTCTTCTTAGGACTCCATAAAAACTGAAATGGACGGCCTAAAAGATATTTCTGCTCTAAAGATCATGGAAAGCGCTGCACCCCAGAGAAAGCAATAAGAAGTGCTGCGGGCCCAAATCAAACTTCAGACTTTGAAATACTTTGAGGTAAGAGAGGGGCATCTACAGAGACTGAAATCATGGGTGGGGTTCGGATTTCAAACCTCATCTGTCCAGGATGTTCTGGGAATTAGGAGCTTCTATTATTTATCTAGTTTCATAGATTACATACAGGTTTTTGCTTTTTGTCGTATCAAAAAAGATACAAGTGTAGTCTTTAGGCGTATGCATGTAGAAATCATGCAAATTGTGTAATTAAGCATCCAAACAATTGCAGATGTCCTGAAGCCTCTTTTGTCGTCCTTGGACGTTATAAGTGCCCAGAACTTCTGAAAAGTAGGCAGCTTGTTGCCGTGTGTCTAAATAAGTACTTGTGGGCCTTTTTGACATCCACATTTGAATGCATCAGAGTAAGAATCCTGAAGAGAGGCTCGGTGCATTTATTGTCCATCATGACCTTTGCTGTAACGTTGTAGTTGCAAGCCGTGTTTTCTGTTTAAAGGGAAACTTAAAGATATTTCCAGGCCTTTCAAAATCTGTGCGTACTGAAAATGAGAATGCGGTGATGCTAGCACTGAGTTCCTTGTTTATTTCTGTCTGATCAAACAGGTACTTTTTGTAAATGTATGAATGTTGTGACTGGAAAGTTAATGCATTGTCTCCTCAGAAAACAGATGAAGGTCTTGTAGTTTGAGTTGAAGAAATTATTACTGATTGTCATTTTCCACAATTTTTGCCTGGAGGATTCCTTTGTTCTCTTTTTGTCCAAAGTTTCTGTTAAAGAAGAGCTTACAGTTTATTTTTCAGTAGCAATCCCTTTGCCGTAGCAGAGCGGAAGTTGCCTGGATGGACTGTAGAAGGTGGTTTTATATGATACTGTATAACTTGTTTCTCCCTCTCTGTTTCTCCTTGCCTGTCCTTCGCTTGCTGTAGATCGTGACCGTGACACTACACAACGGCCGTCTCATTCTGTTAGATCCATTTTGGTCACTGAGGAAGATCTAGGTGATACTGACGGGTTTCCTCCACTGAAAACATCTGCCTGTATTAATTCAGCTTTAATTGTATTGAACTGAGGCCCCTCGATAGGAAAGGATTGGGAAGGGGAGTGTTTTCTGCCTTCATGTGAAGTAATTTCAGGAGTAAAAGATTCTTTCCTTTCTTCCAGCTATACTTTTGGTCCTTCAGAGACACCGATATTTCAAGGAGAGGGGTGACACAGAAGCAGGAGGTGTTGCTGGTACCAAGTGAGACTTGGATGAACGAGTTCTCTCATGAGCCTGCCCTGAGCCAGTGGTTTATCTGAAAATCCTATCTGTTAGCTGTTGGCACTGCTGACATCTCTGTAGGGCTGAGCAGCCTCTGCTAATAAAACCATATCTTGAGTGTGATGAAACTATAGGTCCCAGTATTCTGACGGGAAAAAAAAAAAATTCAGAAAGCCTGCGAGTGGAGCGCTGGAAGTGGGATGAACTTGGTGATAACGTTCCTGGAGTCTCCAGAAGGACAAACCCCTATGCTGCACAGGTGATTAAGTAGCGGTCATCAGGAAATGTGCTGGTTGTGTCCTGGAGCCTTATCTTTAAATAGTGGCGGAGAAGAATAGATCAGGTTAGGCTGGGTATTCTAGGCTGAGTTTGGGAAGGACTGGCATAGTTCTCCTCCTATTGCCCTGATGAGCGAATAGATGTGGCAAGTGTGTGGAAAGTGGGCTGTGCTTAGTTATTAGCTATTTCTGGTCCAACAATATAATTTGTCCAACAATGTGGCTGTATTTATAGGTGTTCCGCACGTGTTTTACTCCCTACCAAACGCCTTCCTTCTCTTAGACACCAATAATTCTTTCCCCTTGCAGCCCAATTCCAACCACAAACTCTCAGATCAGTTTCCTGCTTCTGCCCTCTACAGTATCTAATTCTTGTCATGAGATCAGTTGTATATTGGGAAAAGCTGCTCCTGGTAAGAGCAGTCAAGCCTTCGTGGTGAAGGTGAGGGTTTACAGAATGAGATTCTAGAGGTGAATTTGGTGTTGTGGTAGGGAAGCAACGCAGCCATGCCTCGTTGCCTAGCCAGGATGTTGTGTGTTTGTTTAGTGCCATCCAGCATTGCTTCAGTGCTCGGGGATCCCTCCCTCTCACTGCCCTTTGGGCAGCTTCCTGTGTGGAAGAGCATGCAGAATACATTTTTCCTTCAAAGAGGGAAGTGTTAAGTGTAAGCAAAGATCACAAAGCCTTCCTCAGATCTGATGAAGCCAAGGAATGTCAAATTTGTCAGATTTGTTTGTCTTAATGTGAAAAATCAAGACGAGAGACCTGAGCCAAGTGATGGAAATTACTATATGGCAACCCAGCGTTAGGGAGAGGTTGTCTTTGTGTTTTCCATGGCACATAACCTCAATTACACTCTGTGTTCCCTTGCCCTAGCAGTCCCTGTCATGTGTTTTGGTACAAAATCACAGGCCCTTGTTTGTAACGATTAGGATTATAGCCTCTTTGCCTCTCTTGGGCTTTCTAGTTGCCCTTCACGTTTGCTCTGTCACGCTTTCCAAAACTTGCTCTAGCAAGCTATTGTGCTCCTCTTCTAGTCTTTCTCAATCTCCTAGTCATGTGCGTTTATCCTTCGTTTTAGGTTCTTCCCACTTTGTCTCCCTCCTTCCCTCAGCCTTCTTCTCTGAGACTTATGCTTTCCTCCAGAACTAATCAGTATTGTCCCCCGTGTTCTCTACGCAGTTCAGGAATGCTTTTCCCAAGGGTCATTTCTACCCCAGCATTCATTCCTTACAAAACCAGTTAGCATGCTGTCTTCCTCAAACCATTTCTCCTGTTGCTGTTGCTAAACCCTGGTTAGCATCCGATCTACAGTAAAGCTGCAGATAAGTCTGCAACCAACTTAGAGGAAAGTTTTGCTGTCAGAAGAGTCCCTCATGTTTGTATTCATAAGCCTGTCAACATTTGGCTTTTTTTCTCTCGGGGAAAATTGCTACTGTTTCTAACACCATTTCAGATCCTCCAAATCTAGTTGTGAGCAAGTCTAACGTTAGTGCTAGAATGCCAGATGTCATGGTGACCCATTCTGGGTGAGTCTACACTAGAAACTATTACTACACTGGCATTAGTGATGGTGGGGTCAGGAAGCCAAAGAGAACCTCTTTTACATAAACAGTAAGTTTTTCACAAAAGCCTTTCTAATTTCTACTAAAGAGACTCTAGCACACCCTTGGGACTGGTAAAAATAATAATAGCTTAAGTGGTGGAAGACTGTGAATTTGAAACAGAAGGTTATGAGATTTAGAAGTATTACAAAAATGTCAACATTGTATATCAATAAATGTAATTTAGATACACAAAAGAGATAGCAAAGATTTCAACAAAGAACTGTCAAGTTTTACCTCTTCAGATCTCTTTGAAATAAAGCAGATGTCTTCATCCAGTTGATGCAGAGAAACTGGCGTTCACATACAAAAGTAAGTTACTTAAAATCACAAATGAATTACTCATTTCAAAAATTACATGGTTTGCCATTTTTCAGTCTTTTTCATTCTGAGATGAAACAGATGTGTGTATTGGTTAGTTTAGTCTAGAAACATGGCATTCCACAAAGCTTGAAACTCAGAGCTCATGGAACCATGACTGCTGGGCCTGTAATAAAATAGATGAAGGCAAACAGCACTCATTAGAACTGTATCTGTTAGCTGTTTGAAATATGCCTCTGTTATAAGCAGTATAATTATTACCATTCCGTACCGTAATAAATGGCTACTACCTCTTTCCAAATCCTCCAGCTAATATTCCAAATGGTATATTTTATCAAGCCTTGATCCGAGGTGAAGTCCAAAAAGGAAATTGCTGGTTTAAGACTGTGTTGCTATAGGATATTACGTCTGAGCCTTGTGATCTTTCTCCCCACTTAAATCTGTAACTGCTGGGGTGCATCTAAGAACAACACTCAGGTTTTCCATCCCTTGGTGATTGCCGTCACATAATGTTAACGGTCTTGAGGTTGCGAATCACTAGAGTCCTAGGTAACCTGGAAACTAAGGCCCTTATATGGAGGTCTCCTAGCCAGATCAAGGCCTTAGGTAAGCAGGTTCCAATAACTAAGAAATGAATAGAAAAAGACAATTCCATATGTCCTCCTTATGATTGCTCTTGCTTTGATATAAACGCCTTAGATTTATCCTCTTCAAAACCAGGGCTTCAGTCATGTCTCCTCCCTACACTAAACAGTGGGTCAAAATGGAACAGTTCATACAGTTTGTGTTTGCAGGCCCAGCTTTGTGGGATAGAGAAAAATGATCGGTCCTCAAGAACACTGGAACCTGAAAGAGGCTGTGCTTTGCCTTACTACGTTGCTGCAACCCTGCAGCTTTATTTGCACTGCAAGCTCAGGAGGAAGGATGAGGCAATACTGTGGCTGAGAGCAAGGCCTGAACCGGGACTCTCCAAAAACTCTACACTTTGCACTAACCATCAGGGTCATGCAGCTGGGAGTTAACACAGACTCAAGTCATGTGTGGATCAGGCACAAGGACATTCTGCTCACTTTGTGACCCAAAGGCAATTGTAATGTGGCTAACTTTACATTCTTCTTTTTTTTTTTTTCCCTCTCCTTGATATTACTTTTTTTTTTTTTTGGCTTATCCTAGGAGAGCCAGCTTATGGCAGCCTAAATGGCTTGTGTGACTGTGACTTTAGAGACCAAAGAGGTGCATTAAGAAGAAGGGCAGTTTAGAGGCCTCCTTGAGATCCTGAGCTTTTTATATGATTATGGTTCACTGTTAGTCCATTTACATAGTGTATATATCTGTCAGAGATAGTGGAAGATGCGTGGGTGGAGGGCAGCGTGTCTGAGAAAGGCCAAGATGTGCATTCGTCACAGGGACCAGGTGCTAGTGGCTCTAGAGGTGATTTTGGGAGAGGGGGAACAGAGCCAGTGATAGGAAGGACCAAAAGCGTGTGACCATCTCACCAGGCAACAAAAGAGAGATGCTGCAGCTCACAGCGCTTCCCTTGTAAAGAGGGCACTGTGGTGGCCACCAACATGTAGCT